GGTTGTGGAGCGAGGTATGTCGATACATCGCGGGATGAGCGATTCCGACTTGACGTAGGCAAAGTTGCCAGGGGATAGTTGGGGCCTCGCTCATGGCTGGAATTAAATAAACTCATTTATGAGGTTTTTATACAATACTCAAATTGGTAAAGCGTGTCAGTCTCATAGTCCGCGTCAAGTCCACTCTCGCGTCATGGGGCAACTGCCTTCTTCACAATGTGAAATTTGCCTCCAAGGTTGGTATTTGGTGTAACCCGTGCCCTGGGTCCTTATCTTTGGACAGCCTCTGAATCGAAAGATACGAACCGGGAAACACTCTTCCATGGTCATATTCACAATCTTATTTTTAGAATCGTTCAGCGCTGTACTGAATGTTGGTTTTAAAGTTTGTTGTCGACGAGTTTGGAGGGCGCCATTCCAGCTTTCAAAGCTCCGTAGGCGAAGACTTTCCATATTGTTCAAAAGATGTGCATACTGTAGTGGGAAGGAATGCGCTTTCGAACAACAAGAGTCAAAGCCAGGAGACTAATATGAAGATAAGCACTAACCGCACAGATACGCAGTGCAAAGAATATGCTGCTTATAACCCGCTTTGCATGAACCCCTGCGCTTTGACAGATGCAAAAGTATAGGCGGTGAAAGTCCATGCGCCGAGCGATATCCTCGCGTTCTCAAGAATTAAAATGTCAAGCTCTATGCCAACTTAGTCTAAGACGAACCATACGTTCTAAGCGGAGGAAGGTCAGATGGGAATATTTTGTGATTTCCCAGGAATTCACCTTTTAGGCGACGCCCGGAGCTTGGGTTGCGGTTTCAATACAACCTGTTGGAATATACGGCTTGGTGCCTGCCCAAAAGCAGGCGACTGTATGGGCGGATGATCCTTTTGCGACGAATTACTTGGAAGACAGCGGGATGAGTAGATAGATGACCTGGAAGTCCCTGCGATTGATGGGTTGAGAGACTTTCGCAACATCTGACAGGTGTTGGAATCAAAAGAAAGTTGGGAGACTGATTGCCCAGATGAAGAGTCTTATTATCATCGCTAATTTCCACGTTCAAGGTTCTCGTGAAGATAGGCGGCATAAAGCTCGACGCCCACGCCATTCGAGGAATATCAAGGATCGACATGGGTTCGAACCATTTGGTCGTAATTTGGCGTCTGCATTCTCAGAACTGAAAACTCGAAATAAGTAAACGGTTTTGCATCGGGACGATCAGGCGCAAAATCTCACTGGAAGTGAACTTGGGAGCATTTTGTGAACAAGCGTGTTAGTGCCTCTCGACCTATAACACATGAGCCAGCTAAGTTACAAGCAGAAATGACCGGGATTCATGAGAGGGGACAGAAGGACTGAGCAGCCAATAAACGGTTCCAAGTCTTTTAACAATCCACACGTTTGAAATGAATAAACCTTTTAAAAAACTTGGTTCGCAAACGGACAGAACGGAGCATACACGGATATAACACTGGGAATCTCGGGGAAAATGGATATGAAGACGGCGCAACCAGTGAGCAGATAAAATGACTACAGAATCAGTGGAACAGGGCGTAAAGCTGTTGTTCAACTTCTTCTGCTGATCTCTTGATATCTGAAAGAAAGAACAGAGTGTCAGGGCCAAGCAGACGGGAGAAGCTAAACAACCCTACATTTCTGTGGGTCTGAGAAAGTAAAGTAATCACGTGATCAGAAGTTGAACGTGCACTCAAAATCAAGACCACTCACTCTTACTAAAATCCTTGTCCTTCTGCCTCTGCGTGAAACGCTGCAACGCCGGAACAACAAGTCTAATAACCTCCTCCCCAAGTGTTTCCCTACCCGCAGGTTCGTCCTCCAAAACCTTCGCCAGCCGATGCCTCTCCACAACCTCATCCAGGAGGTCGAAAAACCGGGTAAACTTCTCCTTCGCCGCGCCTTTGCTGCTCTTATCCCTGGGGTCGTCCGCCAGTGCCTGCATGAGGGGTGAAAAGTTCGAGTCGAAGTATCCGGCTTTGGCTGTCCGAAAGTTGGAGTTGAGGGCGTCTACGGCGGATTGAGGGAGGAGGTTGGAGATGGAGGGGTTGGTGGGTTGGATGAGGAGGTGTTCGCGCAAATAGGAGACGTTGTTGAGCAGGAAGATGGAGCCGAAGGCTGGGCGGCGGGAGGTTCGCGAAATGGCAGTTAGACTGGTAAGGCTGGTTATGATGACGTCGCCTGGGTGTAACTAAGTATCATGTCCGCTGAGACAAAAACTCAACTAACCAATGAAGTGTTCGAGAATGGCGGATTCGTCGCCCTCGCGAGCTTGGCCCACTTGAATGCCTTCGCCCATCTTCCAGTTCCCGTCCCCGAGCGCGAGTAGTGCCGAGGAAACGGCACTTCGAACTTCAGGCACTTTGGCTATGTATCTAACAGTCTATAGAGTGATATGAATCGACATCTAGCAAGGACGGACAACAAATGAACATACCGACAGAGTGAAACCCGTAAGTTTGGTGCTGGTGTCTGAGCCCCTGCTCGTCGCGCCCAACTTTATATCCGCAAGGAACTCGGGGAAACTGCGAAGGCACAAGGCGCGGAGGGTTTGTATAGCGTCCTTGAGTTCGTTCTTGTCCGTCGCAGTATCACGACGAGATAGAAGGTCGTCCCAGTGATTTTGCAGCGAAAGCAGGCCCTCAAATGCGGATAGGGCAAGGAAGGTGTACCTGTGCAGTGACTTTTTCACGAGAGTTACAAGGGCCGCCAATATTGAGTTGAAGAGTTTGAGGATGGGAGTCAGCAGCGTTCCAAACGCTGACGCCACGAGCGCGGTGCTCGATAGTGGACTTAGTTCTTGAAGGAGCTTGTATTCCTCCTAAGAAAACAGGTAAGGCAAGGATGCAGGGTAGAAGCGAGGCCAACGTACATCCGCGGTTCCCAGAATTAACTCGACCCACTCCCCAAACTCCCTTCCTGTCACAAGTGGATCCACGCTTTCCGCACGAGCTACAAGCCGCTTTCCCTGCCCTTCCAGGCACTTTACGCTCCAGTTCCCTCGCATGTCGGCGTAGCCTCGTTGCGCCTCTTTCAAAGTCGTCAAGATAACTTGAGCGGCCGGATGAGTTGGATGAGTGGATGGTACCGGGAGTGTGCGCAAGAAGGTGACGACAGGCGATAACGTAGGAAGAAGGGATGATGGGAAAGAGGTCATCATATCTGCACCGGGAACAGGCGTTACTCCCGATGAACCTTCTGCGACGACTTTTGTGTATAACTGTGTCAGTTTCTTCGCTCCGGTTTCGATAAGTCGCGCCTGTCCCACCAATTGAGTGAGAGGAAATGTTACCACCTCAAGCCACTCACCGTCCTATCCAGGTCACCATCTGAGGCCTTGAAGGCAATATTCGCATTCAAACGTTCCAAAGTATCCTTGTAAACCCCGATTTGCCCCGGTTGAGGGCTACGTAACGATGTTAACGAGGGTATTGTTTGTTGAACGCCAACACGCACCCACGTAAAATCAATGCCTCTTCCGCTGCCAAGTCCTCATGGTTACTAGCCACATCATTAATCTTCGCCAGAGTTTCGTCAATGTCTTGATAATATCAGCGCAACGCAACCTGTAAAGCACTAGACAACCTACTGCTTCTCCGTCGGTTCAAAATTTGCGCTGCCGTGTATAACGGTAAGATGGACTTTTCGAGCTTTGCTATCCGGGTATCGAAGCTATCAAGAATGGCTGGTCAGGTGAGTGCGATGCAGGCCAAATGTCAGAGAACGGCGTACTGGTCATGCGTTTCGAGATCTGCTTGGTTTTGTTCAGATTTTGCTGGAGCTAAACGCGGGGTGTAAGCGCATTTCTTCTAGTAAACCTCTGAGATAACGTTACCAGCTCAATTTCCGCTGTTTCGTCGTCCATCTCGCCAGCTCAGAAAGAGGGGATCGTTGGGACTGCTGCAGTGATGGTCGGAGACGAGCACTGTGGCATCAATTCATCGTTGATGTGGTTTGTTTGTCACGCACCTTGACCTCTCTGTGCCAAACCACCAACTAAGACAGGACCAAGACGCGACGGGCATCTCAGGCCTCCTCTCGCATCAATGGGAATGGATTCTTACATTTAGAGGTTCGTTACCAACCGATATTCTCAGGCGCAGCTGACGAAATTCTTGCAGATTTTGGTATTCATGACGCCGGGGTCCAAACGCGTAGAACGTACTTACTTCTTGTACGTTCAAGCTTTGCAGTTTACGTGGTTTTCTTTCCTTTGCAGCATCAGCACGCCTGGTTCATAAAAGAAGTCTGGAGAAGCGTTTCTGGACAAATAGATGCTCTCGGCCCTCGAACTTCTAATGAATGAGATGGAGCAGTCGAAAACGATGCAGGAATTGAGCTGGAACACTCGTTGAGAAATTCAGATACAAAGGTATCGATTCATCAATATTTTTTAGATCAGGTGTTAACTGTTAGCCCGATCCAACTTTTCCCCTGACAAAGGCAGAGGAATTTGTTTTTAAAAAAACGGGGAAGCTGCACCGCACCGACAGATCCACTCGTGACTCATCGAAGACTCTGAAGCACTTCATTATCTCCTTCGGAAATAGAATGCTCCGACCGTAGAGGTAAGAGCGCTCCTTTAGGTGCAAAAACAGCCTGGACGGACGCCTGATAGGGGCAAAGGATTGCGTGCAGCTATGGATATCTGAGGCGTATAAGGCAACGAGAAGGATTGATATCCGCCAACCAAGATAGTCGCCTTGAAATTGGGATATAAAAGGACGGAGAAGTTGCTACGCACCCCACCTACGTTTGAACCTCTCGTTGACTACTCTGAGACATCTCTCCCTACTCTACGTCAAATGTTCTGGTCTCAAAAGTTCAACCCGTTGACCGACCTCTCTGACCTCTCTGGAAAAGTAATTATCGTTACCGGTGGAAAGTGACATTCCATTTCCTTCACTGTAACTGTAACGACAGCTCACATTCGTTTCCAGCAAAGGGATTGGCTATGCCACAGTTAAACACCTTGCTCGCCGCGGTGCTAAAGTTTACCTGGGCGCGCGGACCGAGGAGAAGGGTGCAGGAGCCATCGCTAAATTAAAAGAAGAAGGGATAGGTTCAGGGGATGTGGTCTGGCTTTTCTGCGACCTCAGCACGCCGGCGTTAGCGAAGGAGTCTGGAGAGACTTTTTTGAGGAAGGAGGAAAGACTTGATGTCCTCAGTACGTCCGAGAAGGCTTGTCTTGTCATGCCGTCGCGGGAAATTTAATCTTGTCTATGTGGCTAGTTAACAACGCCGCTGTGTAGGTGCTCAAGTGAATTATTAATTAGTTCTTAACGCTTCTCCCCCAGATTATTTGAAGACCCAACCAACCCGACCCAAGATGGTACTGTCACCCCATCTTTGATGTTGTCGTATTGAACTCAAATTCTAAGCAGGTATTTGTGAGGTGTTGATGGTCAAGTGAATTGCGCCGTGCCTTTTTTAAACGGAGAATTTATTCAGCACACCCTAGCCATATCGGAACCTTCCAAATCACGAAAACCTTGCTTCCTTTGCTCGAAAAAACCTCAAAGGAGGATAATTCGGATGTTAGAATCGTTACCGTGAGTAATTCATTTTTCTTTTGCATCAAGTATCAATACAGATATCGGGTGTAGTTATCATCAGCCCTTCACAGGCTACCACGAGCCACAGATCTGAAACTGCGCTTTCAGTCAATCGAGGATTTTCAGCTGTGCTACGGAACAAAATCGGGTTTTCGCTCAGACCTCGAAAGATACCGTACGAAACTCAGTTTCTCCATGACCAGATAACCTCTAACTATCCCAATTCTCAGCCGTGTCCAAACTAGCTAACATCCTCTTCTCAAATGCGCTCCAACGTCACCTTGACGCTTCCTCTTCCTCCATTATCAGCATCTCCTTGCACCCAGGAATGATTGATACATTTACGGGCCGACTCCCATTCCCTCGGTTTGTTCAGAGGCTGACGGAAATGACGCTCAAACACCCAGATGAAGGGGCGTACAATCCTTGTTTTGCGGCTGCATCCCCAGCGGTCAGAAAAAATCCTGATCGGTATCGAGGAGCGTATTTGGAGCCCGTTGGGAAGGTTGCGTCAACCTCGAAGAATGGAAGAAATGAGGCTTTCGGGGATGAATTGTGGGCGACGACTGAGAAGTACCTAGAAGGGCTGAATTTATGAGTTTCACCGTACAACGATATAATGGAGTAGGTTTTTGCGCAGTTGGAACTAATTTTTGCATAACGCGATTGAGCCCCGAAACATTCGAAAAGACATCTGAACAAGAGATGATTAAGAGTATCGTTGTAGCATGACAACTGTCTCCGAAGAAAATAGTCCGGAAGCTGTGCTCCGGAATGTTTGGAATCACAAATCCTATTATTATGTACGCCTAATCGTTTTGATCTTCATGTATCATTCCTATCTTCCGCGCTCGGATTGTGATGCTCTATTAGTATAACAAGAATGAGGCGAAGACGCTGAAGACTAAGACCAATCGGCCGGGAGATCTCTCCATTCTTATTTTTTTATCATGGGCGGTAGCCGCTAAACCCCAAACAGAAAAGGACGCGCCCGAGTGTGGCAGCACAGAATTCTCGCAAAACGCGCTCGGGCCAGCTTCGGGGGGTTTACTGGCAATTACCTTGTAATCGCGATACAGCGCGATAACTTACACGTCAAGCGCCCAACTCTACGAACACAAACTCATTTAGCCTGGTATACAAGTGCTGGAGTCATGACTGGATTACTGTCTCTGCCCACGGAGCTTCTCCAAGACATTGGTGCTGAAGTAGCAACCTCGCCGGAGGTTCGGATTGTGGAAATGAGTCCCGGTTTTACGATCCATTATTATCGTGATCCTAGAAAGGCTCTGCGTTTAGTATGCAAACAGATTAACTTTGCATGGGAGCCACAGGTTTTGTCAACGATCAAGTTATCGCCGCAACATCTGTCATCTCAGGTCGAGAGCCTTGCTACCACTGAACCAAAGCCGACTTCCGCCTCGAAATATGCCACCCGTCTTGAAATTCGCAATCTATATCCCTGGGAAGACAGGGATGTATCTTCAGGAGAGGAGGCCAAGATTAGGACATTCCTCTTCCCTGCAGTTGCGTCCTTGACTGGGGTCCGAACAGTCATGTAGGTCCAATGCCCTGCTTCAGAGCACATATTGATGTGTTTTAGTTGGGATCTGGGCGCCTCCGACCCAGAGTGGGCATTTCTTCTAGTTCTCGACGCCCTTGCGTCACTTCCACTTCTGCAGACTCTCCATCTGAACTGTCGGTCTGTTCCAAAACCTTCTTGGCAGCTACGACAGTTGCCACACATAGTAAACTTCTCCTTTACCAGCGCGTGGGAGTTGGATTACGATTGCAGCATCATTATCCCTGTTGCGAGATTTATTGGTTGGAATCAGCCGAAGTTGAAAACCCTCACCATCGATAATCAGCGATTCTACTACGAGAAAAGCTTACAAAACCTCAACGACTTTCTCTCTGGGACACCCGATTCAGCGTTCTTGAACATCACACATCTGAACTTGAGTGGGCTGTTCGTAAAACTGGACGCCACCCTGATACCCCATTTGAGATCGTTGATCTCCCTCCACCTTGAAAATATTCTTTCGACTGAGGATCAGGCTTCGGGAAATCCTGGATCCTCCACAGTAAACATTAACTTGAAGTATGGAGCACACCGCGACCGTAAAACCCGAAGTTAATATAGAATGTCCCTCCGAACTTCTTGCGTTTAGGACCTCTGATGGTGCGAGTATTTTCGTTAAAATAGATCACCAAAATTAGGCCAGAAATAACTGACCCCAAAATTAGGCGGACAAGAATAGATGTAAACCAAGAATAAGTCCACCAGTGTTGACGTTTTACCTGCGTTAACGAGGGCCCCGTAACCGTAAGCATCGAGGTCAAAAATCGGAGCGACCTATCATTATGTCGGGAGATTCTTGGGTTCGCTTCTTGTCAAGGTCACGCACAAGTCCATGTCATGTTTCTGCAAATCATGCCGAACGATTTCCCCCTCCAGCAGAAATTTTTAGGAAGCAAATACTCGCCGTAACTTGACTTTCTGGAAAGTAATACGCGTGGGTTGCTAAGAAGTAATGGTTGCCGTTGAAAAATTGAACATTAGTATTATGACGCGTAGAGCAGCAGAAGAACAAAAAATTACCTGGACCAACGTTATAAGCCCAGTGTCGTCATTGGATGGTTACCAGCGTTTTTAGTACAAGTAGGTACCCCATTGCTTGCACCATTCCTTCCGGCTCTCCTTTCTAATTGGTATCCTCGTCATTAATTGATATAGGCACGAAGTGAGGAGCTGGCTTACGAAAAGTATCGCCTACGTTTATGTTAATCCTCCCTGTGGAAGACTCATACGGCCCTATACACGATCACCCCCTTCGACAGAACTGCTTCTCGTAGTTCGAGCTGTGAAACGCGACCCGTTAGCTCGTCGCCAGGGAAAGAGCAGTTGAAGCTCTACCAAAGCAAGAGGACGCAAAGACGTCTTGTTACGCAATCAGCATTTGACCCCCGAAGGGTAAGATGAGAGTATCGTGTTCACAGGGAGAGTGAAGGTGCGAGGATGAATAGACGGCTCGAGAGGTTTGGAAGATGATGAAAAAGTTAAATATGTCGGATGTTGTTGTTCGGTTGGCGGCGCTGTGTCGGGCTACAATGTAAGTTGAACGTGGAACCTGTGTTGATCGATTTACGTGATAGGAAAGCGTCAACGCAGTGCGTAGGCGGGCTGAAGTTTCAGTGGGCTAAAGAAATGTCGTCGGTGTCGGTGCTGGAAGTACAGGTGTCTTAGTAGGGGCATGGTTGTTGAAAAAATGGCACTCGTACATGAGATACAGCACCGCCTTGACCCTCCTGCACAACTACCTTCTTGGATCTCCTCTGTGCCTCGTCAAAAACTCTTTTCTGCCATAAGTAGTTCTCAGCACATTGTCGTAGGGACCGGAACGTATCCCCGATGTGCGTGAGTAGAGCCCGAGGAAATGGCACGACGCTGACGAATGTATTGTCAGAAAACTACACTTAGAAGGTGATACAGCGTGGACGTACCATACGAATCCAAAAGATAATCTTGAGGCCTTCAGGGCTCGCCTTCCCTCGAGCGGTGGTTGTCGGGCAGCGAATAGGTTGCTCGATTGCGTCTCCGAATTATTTTAAGGCGGTGACAACTGACATGGGCGGAATACGTCAGCAAGAGTTTGGGGTGTCACTGAATGAAGTAACGATAAGTAGTCAGGATGAGGAACAAAGTAAGATAACGGTCACGTACAGTGGATATCACTTCACTTGCATGATTAACGGCGTAAAAAAGAAAAGCGAGCCAGTTTTTCTCGCTTGGCCCTGACGGGTAGGTGAGGGTGGTGGTCAAGAACAATATCAATCAGACACTCACCTTACATAAACGACGCGTCTTGAGTAGCAGAAAAAGTTCGTGGTGGAGATGATGGTGGTCGAGGACATAGTTGACGATCACATCGTTGTTGATCAACATTTGTCATCGTCGTGTGCAACGCCACCTCGAAAATTCGGCTTGCTCTGAGGATATTACACGTTCAGGTCGTCGTTGTGTAGGTGCATTCATTGCGCCGTGCCCGTTCTGTTGGAATAATCAAGGTGACGACGTCCTCGCCGTCTCCATATCCTCGGATAAATTCCCTTGCTTACATTCTGTTCCCCTTACTCACATGTTCCTTTATATTTCATATTCTTCATCACTCGTGATATGTTCCTTGCACGCGTCCAAATGTAATGCGTGCCTTTAGTTACTCCGTAGAACATAAATACTGGACTCTACGTACTTCCACCTCAGTCGTTTGGCTTACCTGCGCAAACACTGAGGTGAATATCTTTTACTTACTTTCTATTTCACTTTACTGATTCACCCGTAGTCTACGTTATCTTCGTATAGGTGAATCTACAGTCGTTTGGCTTACCTGCGCAAACACTGAGTCTACGTTATCTTCGTATAGCTAATCTTACAGGTTATTGGGCCCTGCGCACCCTGCCTATTTTTATTGTGTACCCCTTGCACGCTGCTACTATGTCCGTCACCAGCGCTTCGCTCAACGATATCCTCCCGTCGAGTGTTCCAAAGCTCGATACTACTGGCCTCAACTGGGCTGTATTTTCCCTCCGTTTCGAAGACGCCGTCCAGCCTAAAGGGTTCTGGGGTCACTTCTCTGGTACCACCCCACGCCCCACTGCCGCAAATCCCTCTGCACCCACTACTGAGGAACTCGCCGCTATCGAGAAATGGGACAAGGACGAGCGGTCGGCCAGGTCCCTGCTCACCCAGAAATTGCCGGATTCTGCCCTGATGCGTGTTCGAAACAAGACGTCAGTTAAGGAACGCTGGGAAGCAATTACCACGGAATTTACCCAGAAAGGCGCGTTTGCGCAAACAGAGCTTCGCGCGCGCTTCTTGGACATGAAGTGCCCTGAGAAGGGCAATGTCCGAGAGTTCCTGGATTCCCTACGTGTGAAGCGCGAGGAGTTAGCAACGGTTGGCGTCGAGATCGACACCAAAGATTACCTTTCTACCATCATTTCATCCCTCCCTGTGTCCCTTTCCAACTTTGCCTCAAACCAGCTCGCCGCCGCCAAGCTCTTCCACACAACGAAGACCATCGATCCCGACGTGCTCATCTCCCTCATCTCTGAGGAGTACGAACGGCAGAAAATTCAGCGGTCACGTCGTTCCAATGGGAAGTCTCCCAAGGACGATGATCGCGATGAAGCTATGACTGCGTCTGCGTCTTCGTCAAAGGGCGGGAAAGCTGGGGGCCGTAACCACAAATATCCTCGTGGTACCTGCTGGGGCTGTGGAGGGGAAGGGCATTTTAGGGATAAATGCCCCAACAAAGCGAAGGACGGAAAGAAATCGAAAGACTCACCAAAAAGCGGCTCTGCCAATGCTGCTGTTGGCGTGAACTCGGACTCCGAATGCGAGGGGGCTTTTGCTGCCGTGGCCGTCACTGACTATGAGTCAGATGACAGCATGCCTGACCTCCAGGCTGTGTCGGACTCTGATTCAGACAGCATGCCTGACCTCAAGGATGTGTCGGACTCTGATTCGGATGACGAGCCTGAGAGTGGCGCCGTTACTGATAGCGACTGGTTTTCTGAGGCAGCGGATGAAGGGACAAGCATTGGAGAGTGTTCTGAAGGGAGCAACTGGGATTTTGACGATTTATTCGAAGATCCCGCGCCAGCTGTTGATGCGCCGTTTGCGCTGGAGGACCCTGGCACCCCTGAACACGTTGCGGCATTTGTCAGTGCCAGTAGCAACACATGCAACATCTCACGTACCGAAGTTTATGATTCGGGTTGCACGTCCCACATTTCGCCGTACCGAGATGATCTCGAAAATTTTGTTGAGATTCCGCCGAAGCCTTTCCGAGCTGCCAACAAGCAAGATTTTCAGGCTGTTGGCAAGGGCGAGATGGTGATTGACATACCTAATGGTGCCGACATCTCGCAGCTGCGCCTTACGGAAGTTCTCTATTCCCCTGAGGTTGGATACACCCTCGTGTCTGTTGGACAACTCGACGACAATGGTTTTACGGCCACTTTTGGAGGTGGCAAGTGCGTTGTTCGAGGTCCTGATGGGGAGGAACTAGGTTCCATCCCCAAGTCGAG